GTTTGAAAGCAAAATGAAGTGAGTATGATTTGAAGAACATGAATGGACCTAATTTAATTGGAGAAGATGTGATAAGATGTGGGTAGTGAAGGAATCCCCTTAGTTGAGTGCCTTCCTCCTAAATGATTGCTTGTTCGCGATGCAAATGAGCACACGCCCATACTTACTATTTAAGGCTGAACTTTTCAAAGTAGTATAAAAGAGTTAGGTGCTAATATCCTATTAAAATTCAGTGGGAGTTGGCAGTCAAACGCCCTTAGGCTCCTCTGGAAAGTCCAGCCATAATACACAGGGAGATCCACCAACCCTTGTGGTCAGGTAGGCCTCTTGGTCACATATGGCTTAGAAATCAGGGGACAGGAGGCTGGATCTGGTGAGGTCCACATGAGGGCCGTACCTGTGTCTCCCCAGGTCCATGGGACCTCTGTACTCCATATACAGGGACGGGTTTGACCATGTAGATCTGTTGGCTGGACTCCGTACATAGGGACATGTGTGGAGCAGCTCTACTTCTACTCCATAGCTGGTGAACTGGGTAGATTCCATTCCCTGCCCGGTTGCTGCAGGACCCCTTTGTTCCAAACCCATTTATTCAGGCTTGGACAGGGCAGTGGATTTGGCCCATAGAGTGTTGACTCCTGACCAATTTCTCCAGCAAACTCTGCGAATGATGGAGCTAATGTTATACATCACTGCAAACAACCAATGAGTGTTACAATAATTCATCCCAACTCTGAGTCAATGTTTATGCCAAGTCCATTTTTCAGTTCCTCCTTAGAGTGCCATCTGAAAGCAGATAGGCAAAATTTGATTAATAAAGGTGTGGTCGGGACCAATTTACAGCCAGAGAAAAAGATCATGCTGTTTGTCTTGTCTGCTCTGCCTGCTCTGAGCAGCCTTTGCTGCTCTAAGTGGTGTTATGGACTTATGACAAATATAAGGAATGAAGGTCTCTCTCAAATGCCTTTCGTGGCATGACGTAAATTAGTGGGAATTGCTGACAATTTGCCTTTTTCAGATGGGTGTCACTGTCCATAAGCCTTTGTTTCAAACAATAGAGAGTTATTAAGTTAAATGTTCCCAGAACAGCAAATCTGGGAAGTATTAAGTGTACAGTGTGTATGTGAAGGTTATTGTTATAGCTGAGTCCTGCAGTACACATGTTGTAAAGGCAGAGACGTATTCTGTAGCTGCAGCCAGTTTCATAAGGCTATTAAAGGATACCATCAACTTAAAAATCACACTTCTATCTGTAATTTTTTTATCTCCTGTTATTTGTCACACCTGTGATCACTGTAACTGACAGATCATAGAGAGAGAAATTTTCATTGTGCTTGCATTTAAAAGCACTGGGTGCAATTAGTCTGTTTCCCATGTTGTTTGTGGTGTTTTGGCACACAGCAAGATGAGAATTTTTTTTTAAAATGTGCTGTAAAATCGCAAAAAATTGGCAGTTGGGGGGAGGGTTCACGGGTAGGAAAAGCAACGGAAGGGACTTTTAACTAACATAAACTTGCTAGATTTCATGACAAATGTCTTCTAAAACTAATGATCCAATTTCCTCTGTTGTACTGTAAGCTGGTCTGTTTTAAAAGTTGGCTTCTCTGTTTTCAGCTCTTGGGAACTTGGAATGAACATTGATGCAGTCTGGAAATTAAAGGCCAAATTCTGCTTGTGCTCCACATTTACACGGGTGTAGCTTCATTGAATTCATTTCAGATGTATATTGTGGCTACTTAGAGTAAATTTAGGGCCAAACTTTGCTCTGAGTTGAGATGTCATCAATTAAAAAAAAAAAGTAAGTACATTTTGTGGCTCACTGGCCAACTACCAAGATATTAACTAGCATCATACATGGTCCATCTGTACAGTCAGAATTCTCAAGTAACTAGATTTGCATGGTTTAAAGCCAGAAGGGACAATTAGATCATCTAGTCTGGCCTCCTGTGTGTCTCGAGCCATTACATTTCATTGTTACCCTGTGTTGAGCCCAATAACTTGTGTTGGACTAAAGCATATCTTCCAGATAGGCCTTTAGTCTTGATTTGAAGACAGTAAGAGATGGAGAATTCAGCACTTCCCTTGGTAGTTTGTTCCAGGGGTTAATCACCTTCACGGTTATAAAATTGTGCCTTATTTCTAATTTGAATTTGTGTGGCTTCAGCTTTCAGCCACTGGTTCTTGTTGTGCTTTTCTCTGCTAGATTAAAGAGCCCTTTGGTACCCTGTATTTTCTCCCCATTTTCTGCATATTCATTGTAATCAAGTCACCTCTCAATCTTCTTTTTGAGAGTCTAAATAGATTGATCTCTTTAAGTCTCTCGGTTGTAAGACATTTTCTCCAACCCTTAAACCATTTGTTTGGCTTTTTTTCTGCACTCTCTCCAACTTTTCACCAGTGCCATATGCAGAGGTAAAATCTCCTCTGTAATCCTCCTCATTGGTCCTCTGTATATACATCCCAGGATTGCTTTAGCCCAGTTTGCCACAGCATTGCACTGGGAGCTGATCTTGAGTTGCTTGCCCGCTATGACCTCTAAATCCTTTACAGAGTTCCTGCTTTCCAAGATACAGTCCCCCATTCTGTAGATGTGGCCTGCATTTCTTGCTCCTACATGTACAGCTTTGCGTTTGGCTATATTAAAGCTAGAACTGCATGAAAATATTTAGAAAAATAGTAAATTTGCCCAAAAAATGCATTTTCAGGGCATCAAAACTATTCGCAGATTCAGATCAGATTTGGAAATAAAAAAAAGGAAAAAACATTTAGAAAAAGTTGAAATGGTTCATTTTGACCATTTCAAAACTAAATGTCTTTTTTTTTGACTTTTCATTTAGAAATGTTTGTTTTTGGCCATTTTGAAATGAAATGGGGTTTCATTTTGAAATATAGCTCATTAAAGAAGGGTGAAAAACCACCTGAAAACCACCTGAAACAAAACAAAATATAGTTTTGGGTCAAATGAAGCATTCTGTTTGACCCGAAACAGAATTTTTCCGTTTTTGTTTGTCTGTTTCAGAAAAATGGGGGGAAAAATCCGTTTTGGTCAAAGCCAATTTGAGAGGTTGGAGGAGAGGTTAGGATTGGCCCCGAACCAAAAAACCAATTATTCACTCTAATTAAAATGTATTTTGTTTGAATGGACCCACTGACCATGTGAGCCATGCCCTGTCCTCATCATTATTTACTGTTCTGCCAATCTTTGTGTCATCTGCAAATTTTAATTCGATGACAATGTTGAAAAGCATAGTACTGATTCCAGTGGGACCCAATTAGAAACACCTCAATTGATGAAGATTCCCCATTGGTGACTGCGTTTTGAGATCTGTTATTTAGCCAGTTCTTAATCCATCTAACATGCACTCTCTTGGTATTGTATAGTGCTAATATTTTAACCATAATGCCATGCGGTATAAAGTCAAATGCCTTACAGATTTCTTAAGTATATTCCATCTGCGCAGTTACCTTTATCAACCAAACTTGTAATCTCAACAAAGAATGAAATTACGTTTATCTGACCTGACCTTTTTCCATAAAACCATGTTGACTAGCATTAATTATATTCATATCCTTTAATTATTTATGAATTGCATCCTGTATCAATTTTTTCCCATTATTTTTCCCAGGATTTATGTCAGACTAGCTGGCCTGTAGTTACCTGGGTCATCAGCTTGTCCTGTTTGTATATTGGCAGAACATTCTCATTCTTTCAATCTCCTGGAATTTCCCCAGTATTTCAAGATTTATTAAAAATTAACATCAGCAGGGCAGAGATCTCCTCAGCCAACATTTGTAGGACTTTTGGGTGCAGGTTATATGGGTCTGCTAATTTAAATGTGCTTATCCTCAATAGATATAGTTTAACATCCTTGGTTATCTAAAGAATAGCTCTGTGTAGCTTGATGAAAGCTTGTCTCTTTCACCAAAAGAAGTTGGTCCAGTAAAAGATATTACCTCACCCAGCTTATCTCTGGAAATACTTTGTCATCCTTGTGATGTGAGTCTATTATCCTGCTGCTTTCCAAATGCAGAACAGAAATATTTATTGAACACGTTGGCCTTTTCTCCATCTTTTCTCCATGCATCTGAAGAAGTGGGTTTTTTACGCACGAGAGCTTATGCCCAAATACATCTGTTAGTCTTTAAGGTGCCACCAGACTCCTTGTTGTTTTTGTGGATACAGACTAACACGGCTCCCCCCTCTGATACTACTTCATCATTGTTAACAGTTTTATCATCTCTGTCTAGTAATAGGCCTGTACCATTGTTAGGATTTCTTTTGGTCTTAAAATATTTTAAAAATTCAGTAATTTTTACTGATTGCTATTGATTTCCCTTTTTCCTATTTGTTGCATTTTCCTCCCCCCCCCACCCCCCTGCCCCCCCACTAGCACTGCCTATTAATCTCATGGTGACTCCTATCAGAGTAGGCACTTCTTAAATATCTTTTGTGCAATGAATGGAAAATGTTACACTTACGTTAGCATCACTAGGAGCCTAATTCAAAATCCACTGAAGTCAATAGAAAGACTCCCATTGACTTTATTAGGCTTGGGAATAAGGCCTTGGAATAAAATCCTCCTTGAGGAAAAGGTGCAGTTATGTTTCAGTTATGCTACAATTTCTTGTCTGTAAGGATGTTGTTACTAGCGTTACTCACTTTCTCTGTACTGTATTTTTCACAGTTCAAGGACAAAATGGATGGAGTTTGTTAAATCTTTTTTTTTTAATGCAAGTGTACAAGAGAGTTGATGAAATGTTTTAGTGAGAGTACACATTGAGTTCTGGATACTCCATTCCCATTACCTTTCATCATAATTGGGCTTTCGTATCCCATAGGTTGCTATGAGAATCTCAGCCTAAATGTGTAAACAGTCATTTTTATTCAAATTTGAGGTACAGAAGCATCAGCATGTTTATCCCACCTTTTTGTAATAACCTTGGAAACAGTTGTTTGTGGATTGGGACTTAAGGACTTTTTTCTTCTTCTTTGTTTGTAGTGGCTTTCTTGAAAACCTACAAAGGAAACTTAGATTCTTCAGGCAAATTTTGGCTGGTAGAGATTCTGGATAACAGGTGAGACAGCAAAAGAGTTTAGATGTAGAATTTTTGTATGGATGATTAAATTCCCTTGCTCTCTTGATTAAATGTTGGCAGTGTTGGGGCTGAGTGTTTTAAACTCTTAACGTGTGTCTCTTTTTTTAAGATAAATCGATTTGACCACCATGAGTTGGAGTTTCTTGACTCGTCTGTTAGAGGAAATCCACAATCATTCAACATTTGTTGGCAAAATCTGGCTGACCGTTTTGATTGTCTTTCGGATTGTCCTTACTGCTGTGGGAGGGGAATCCATCTATTATGATGAACAAAGCAAGTTTGTGTGCAACACGGAACAACCAGGATGTGAGAATGTTTGCTATGATGCTTTTGCTCCCCTTTCGCATGTGAGATTTTGGGTGTTTCAGATCATTCTTGTAGCCACTCCATCGGTGATGTATTTAGGCTATGCCATTCATAAAATTGCCAGAATGGTGGAACATAACGAACCTGACAAAAGAAGCAGGAGCAAAACCTTTTCAATGCGCTGGAAACAACACCGTGGCTTGGAGGAGACGGAGGATGACCACGAAGAAGATCCAATGATGTACCCAGAAATAGAGCTAGAAAGTGAGCGGGAGAACAAGGAGCAGCCAGCCCTCACTAAAGCAAAACACGATGGCAGGCGGCGAATTCGAGAGGATGGGCTCATGAAAATCTATGTGCTGCAGCTGCTGTCTAGGACTATGTTCGAAGTTGGCTTTCTTGTTGGTCAATATTTTTTGTATGGGTTCGAAGTCAGCCCCACATTTGTGTGTAGCAGGAAACCATGCCCACACAAGATAGATTGTTTCATTTCAAGGCCTACTGAAAAGACCATTTTCCTTTTAATAATGTATGGCGTAAGCTGCCTGTGTTTACTTTTGAATGTCTGGGAGATGCTCCATTTGGGATTTGGTACAATCCGAGACACCTTAAACAGTAAAAGAAAAGAGCTGGAAGACTCTGGTACTTATAACTACCCTTTTACTTGGAATACTCCGTCTGCTCCTCCTGGCTATAACATTGCAGTCAAGCCAGATCAAATCCAGTATACTGAATTATCCAATGCCAAAATGGCCTACAAGCAAAATAAGGCGAATATCGCTCAGGAACAGCAGTATGGGAGCAACGAAGAAAACATTCCGGCCGACCTAGAAAACCTGCAGAGGGAGATTAAAGTGGCTCAGGAACGTCTGGACCTTGCAATCCAGGCCTATAATAACCAGAACAATCCCAGCAGTTCCAGAGAGAAGAAATCCAAAGCAGGCTCAAACAAAAGTAGTGCCAGTAGCAAATCAGGGGATGGCAAGACCTCTGTGTGGATTTAATGTTCGCTGAACTTGTACTTTTTTTCTTAGTTAATGATAACCAGCAATTCACTGAATAATTACTTTCATTAAGTAAACATTTGACTCTGTTTATCTTCAGGGATACTGTCGACTAGCGATCCAAGCTCTCAAAAAGTTTATGCACATGCCCTAGAGTTACAGAATTTTATTCTTGTGTCTTCCAGGTCAGGAGAAGAACAGGTATATTTAAATCATTCTTGTTGAACGGTTTACACTGTATGTACAGTATTATGGTGCATTTATTATGCACAATTTTTTGTATTTGTACGTTGGACCTCTGCAGTTATACTTTTTATATTAAAGAAAAGAAAACAATACAGATAGTGCTTAGCATTTTGCTAGTTCTATTACTGTGGTCAACAGACTTATTTTTCTCTTTTTTTGTTTTAAATGTGAAGCTGTCTGTGCTGCATTTCAGAAGTGCCTTGTACATGCGCACAAGACAGAGGATACTTCAGTTACCTAGGGAGCCTATTTAGTGTTGACTGCTTATCAGCAGAGCAGTCAAGGGTTTGGAGAATATTTAATGGTGCCACTGGTTACATCTTTATACAGTTATGTGCAGCTCACAAAATGGAAGTGTCATATACTAACCAGAAGGTGCCAGAATGTTCCACCCTGTGGTTTAAATTATTTAGACAAACATATGCAGGTTGGAAGGCATCAGTTCAAAGCAAGAATGCCATACATAATTGGGGCAGGCAGGGTTTTGTAAGCTTTATCCAACAGGGGAAAGAGAAACTTAGAACTACTATAAAATGTTCTAAAAAAAATATGGGTAGAAATTACTGTGTATTCAATAATTCCATGACATTTATGTGAAATCCATGATAAGGTATTTGTTTCGTAAGGTCTTATTATAACACAAAAACCAATGAGGGCATTAAATTGTTACAGTAACTTCTGGATAACTGGTTTTTGTTTGTTTATTTATTTATTTTTAACAAAATGGTCTGACTTTGAGTAGTCATTGTAAACTGTATTTGTTGTGTATTACATTAGAAGGAAGCTTTTGATAGTCCCCTCCCAAAAAAAAACCACAACAAAAACTTGGTTTATAGGAATATATTGAAAACTTGACAAAGATGCCTCACCCCCAAGCCATCTTTCTTCCATCGTGTCCTAGGAACTCAGCTCAAACAGAGCAATATGTAAATATTCGATTTCTGCTTGAGAGACTAGTTGGATTTAGCATTCTGAGGGTTTGGCATTAAAGTTAAATTTATAATTAGAAAAAGGAGAACGCAGTATTACTGCCTTTGGCAGTGTCTTTTTGGCAAGGGTAAGCATTAACGTTTGAGAGATGCTGATGAGTTGTATATGCTTTTAGCTACTATTTATAATACAGTCAAGGCCATGCTCTGTTTTCTCTTCTGTGAAATTTTAGTCCATTTAATAGATTTTGGGGGAAAGTATTAAGGGGAAACTCCTGTTCTATCGTGAGGCTCCCTCATTCCCACACCACCCTGGATACAGTTAATGAGGAGCACATTTCCAGAGGTCAGAAAGGGAATCCTTAAGAAAGCGATAGATAATACGACAGAAAATATCATATTGCCTCTATATAAATCCATGGTACACGGCGTGCAGATGTGGTCGTCCCATCTCAAAAAAGATACATTGGAACTGGAAAAGGTTCAGAAAAGGGCAACAAAAATGATTAGGGGTATGGAACAGGTTCCGTATAAGGAGAGATTAATAAGACGCAGACTTTTCAGCTTGGAAAAGAGATGACAAGGGGGGATATGATAGAGGTCTATAAAATCATGACTGGTGTGGAGAAAGTAAATAAGGAAGTGTTATGAGAAGGAGTAAATAACGCAAGAACTAGGGGGTCACCAAATGAAATTAATAGGCAGCAGGTTTAAAACAAACAAAAGGAAGTTTTTCTGCACACAACGCATGGTCAACCTGTGGAACTCTTTGCCAGAGGATTTTGTGAAGGCCGAGACTGTAACAGGGTTCAAAAAAGAACTAGATACATTTATGGCGGATAGGTCCATCAATGGGTATTAGCCAGGATGGGCAGGGATGGTGTCGCTAGCCTCTGCTTGCCAGAAGCTAGGAATGGGCGACAGGGGATGGATCAGTTGATGATTCCCTGTTCTGTTCATTCCCTCTGGGGCACCTGGCATTGGCCACTGTCAGAAGACAGGACACTGGGCTGGATGGACCTTTGGTCTGACCCGGTCTGGCCGTTCTTATGAAGCAGTAAGGGAGCTCAAGCCTGAGTGCAGCAGAATACTTAAGTATAAGTTCATTCCTGTTCCCAAAGCACCTAAGCATATGCTTAATGTTAAAAATAAATTAATGGGACATAGGCATATGCTTAAGTGCTTTGCTAAGGGATGATTTGCTGAATTGAGCCCTGAAAGTACTAGTTCCATGGAAAGCCACACTGTTCCCCCTTTAATTCCCTCCTGAGCATTATTAATTTTAGGGTATGTCTGTACGTCAAAAAAAGACCCACAGCAGTGAGTCTCAGAACCAGGTCAACTGACTCAGGCCCATGCCGCCGCTGCGGGGCTAAAAATAGCAGTACAGACATTCCCACTTAGGCTGGAGCCTGGACTTTGAAACCCAGCGAGGCGGGGGGGAGTCTCCGAGCCTGGGCTGCAGCTGGAGTCTGAACATCTATGCTGCTATTTTTATCTCTGCAGCAGGCGCCCCAGGAGCCCAAGGCAGTTGACCCAGACTCCAAGGCTTGCGGGGCTTTTTGTTGGGTTGGTTTTTGCTGTGTAGATGTACCAGCAGGGCCTAGTCCGGCTCTCCTTGAAGTCAGTGGCAAAAGTAGCGTTCATTTAAATGGGAACAAGATAGAGACCTTCTTCCAAAGAGCAGCCCAAGCCAATATAGACTCCTTTAGATGCACATTGGTAGGCTGCTCCAGTCCACTTCAGGCAGCAAGATGTTCCATGCTACAGGTATAAAACTTGCTTTCCCGCTTCTTCTCTTGCAATTCGCTCATCCTCTGTTAGTCTGAGAAGTGTGTCTGAAGTCTGTATTGTAGCACTTAATCCCTACATGTTAAAAGTTCTTGGGGAGGTCTATTTTATTTTAAGTGCAGAATAGACCAGGTTATGTTGTCATCTTTAAAACAGCAAGTGAAATTCCAGACCGTCTGGCCAGCGAGAAATGGGTTTGTGTCACTAACTTTGTGTTGGTGAGACAGAATGTCAGTGATTGTCTAGTTAAGAAGCAGGCGTCTGAAGGGAAGACTACCGAGACGGAGGATGGACAGAAGGGATTAGGTTAGCCAGAGGGAAGATATGAGAGTGATGGGGAGGCTGGGTGAAAAGCAGTGATGTCTGAAAAAACTGTGGAAAAGACATTTGGAGCCTGGAGATAAACATTATCCACAAATGCTGCAGCTTGGTTGTTCTCTCCAGCTTCCCAAGAGGGTTATATTGCGCTTAACCCCTTGTAGTTTCTTTGAATGCTGTTTAATAAGCAGGACTGCAGTAATTTAAAATCCTTTGCCCCGGCTATTGTTTATATCCCCTGTACCCGTGTACCACACCTGTAGTTTAAAATTACCTGACAGTCAGTTACTGCCAGCTGCTCCATATGCTTTCTGTATTAGTCATTACTGCTTACTTTGGGGGGCAAGTCATCCTTCCATTTGACCCTAAACAATTACCTGTTTAAAACCACTAGCTCATGTTAATCCTGTGAGATTTCCTTCAAAAACAGGAAATAATTCCATTACTGTACTGCAATATTTTGTTTAAAATATACATAATTATTCCACAGTGTGCACTGAACTCATTCCAGAAATGCAAAGTAACTGAGCTCAGATTTTTGTAGCTATTTTGTATTCATTTCAGTTGTGTAAAAAGTGCACATTTTACTTTGAAACTGAGTCTTTGCTACTCACGAGGTGGGTGTCTTTTAAAGCTGTACATTTTCATGTTTATGATGATCAGTTTCAAAGTGCATTTTAATTTTCCCTTTGAAGAATTTTCACATGTATTGCTTTAAAATGGTGTCCTCTTCGGAAGAGAGGAGGCGGCTTTGGGTTAAATCTGGGCCATCTGAAATAAATATTCAGAAGAGACTTTAAACAAACAACTGAATATAACTTGGATTTTTGTTGACATTATCAGAGTTTTCTATTTTTGGACACTTTTTTTGAAAGAAACTATCTAGCATTTGCTAAAAATCCACTCTGGATTCTTTTATCAGTGCTGAGTTACGGTCTGTGGGTATATGGATGTGCATGTGTGCCGTGATGCTTTGTCTTATAGCTCATAGACCCAGATCTTGTAATTTTTCATAAACTTGACCTGGGGTTATTTAAAGTCACGTAGACTGCGCATTAGAAACTAACAGTGCCTTTTTGCAAATGATTCACTCTTCAGTGACCAGTGGAACAATAGCACATTTAAAAAAAAATAAAAAGGCAAACTGTGTGAGGGCATGTCTACAGTAGAAACTTAAGTCGACCCATGTTAGGTAATTCCTGCGGTGGTTGATGTCTACCCTACCCTCCTTCTATTGGTAGTGCACATCATAGAATCATAGGAGATCAGGGTTGGAAGAGACCTCAAGAGGTCATCTAGTCCAACCCCCTGCTCAAAGCAGGACCAACCCCAACTAAATCATCCCAGCCAGGGCTTTGTCAAGCCGGGCCTTAAAAACCTCTAAGGATGGCGATTCCACCACCTCCCTAGGTTACCCATTCCAGTGCTTCACCACCCTCCTAGTGAAATAGTGTTTCCTAATATCCAACCTAGACCTCCCCCACTGCAACTTGAGACCATTGCTCCTTGTTCTGTCATCTGCCACCTCTGAGAACAGCCGAGCTCCATCCTCATTGGACACCCCCCTTCAGATAGTTGAAGGCTGCTATCAAATCCCCCCTCATTCTTCTCTTCTGCAGACTAAACAATCCCAGTTCCCTCAGCCTCTCCTCGTAAGTCATGTGCACCGGCCCTCTAATCATTTTTGTTGCCCTCCGCTGGACTCTCTCCAATTTGTCCACATCCTTTCTGTAGTGGGGGGACCAAAACTGGATGCAGTACTCCAGGTGTGGCCTCACCAGTGCCGAACAGAGGGGAATAATCACTTCCCTTGATCTGCCGGCAACGTTCCTACTAATGCATCCTCACCAGGAGCACTTCCACCAACTTAAGAGGGGAGCGGGGGAGAGAGGATCTCAGCTCTGCACGCAGTCCCTGCTGGGAGCCCAGGTGCCCCCTTCCAGAGAACCTGGACCCAGGGGGCAGCTGAGCTCTGAGTGGGGCAGGTGCAGCCCGGGTGGAAGCAGGGAGCTAGCACTCGGGGGACAGCCAGGTGGGGAGTGGGCTGGGTGCAGCCTGGATGGGAGCAGAGGGCACAGACCCAAGGGGTGGCTGGGTCTAGCTGAAGCCCCCCTACCGTCACCCCAGTGACAGCCCAGCTTTCTTGTCAATTTCAATCCTTTCTGGAGACAAGAATGACAGCAACCAGACAATGTAAGGAATGCAGCATCTACACAGACACTGCGTCACCCTAACTACACCGACATAAGCCCCTACGCCTCTTGTGGAGGTGGAGTTATGATGTTGGTGTAGTAGGACACTTATATCGGCGGGAGCAAGGCTGTCGTGCGTACACTGACATAAGCTGCCTTACATCGACCTAACTGTGTAGTGTAGACCAGGCCTGAGGGTCTGTCTTGGACAAGACCGACATACATGGAAATGTTTGCCTGCTGAAACCTGCGTTTGTGTGTATGAACGGGCACGTTGAGATCCACTGGTGGAAAGTGCAGAGTTAGCTGAGACTGAGATTTCGAAGGCGCCTAAGGGAGTTGGGTGCCCAGCAATGTTCCCTTTTATATTTTCCATCCATGTGCGGAGTCAATTTTATGTGCACCAAGGTACGTGCAGATGTGCACCACCAGTAGAAACAAAAATCCTAGATATAATACATATTTTTAAAAAGTTACCATAGGAATAATTACTCCAGCCAGGACAGGTTAGGCATTTTAGAACTCACTACTCAAAGAATTAAATTTAAGCATAAGAAAAATAAAATTATGAAATGCATAGACCAGTCAAAAAACTCAAATAACAGCACGGTGAAAGAATAAAATTACACATCTGAAAGAATTTTTTGTGAGTCCTGAACAGAGTTTTTAAAGATTTATCTTGTGGTTTGTGCATCTTTTCCCCAAAAATTGAAACCAGCTGAAATCAGCTACAAGAAAATGTAGAATACTGGCAATGTATCCTATTCTGTATGGCTCACATTGCTGTTATGCACTTACATTAAACGTAGCACTAAATATTTACTGTATTCTAATGCTTTTGGATTGACCTGACCACTCTGAACATTAAAGATCTCCTGTCATTTTTGTAAGAGGTGGGGGATCTAAATCCCTGTGTCCTGGATTTTAATTTGAGTAATTACATTTTGCCAACCTAAATTCCTCTTGCGTTTTAACTGGCTATTAGTGGTATTCATTTTCTGTCTGAACTACTGGCACATGTTGCTAAGCAGTGTTAAAAAACCTGGCATTTCAGTGGTGGATGAAGTGATTACTATATATTGCTTACCTGCCTCACAGGGATGTTGAGAGCTAATACACCAAATTTATCCCTGAGGTAGGTCCATTGACTTCAGTGGAATTACCCCACGGATAGGTTGTAGACATGTTGAGATCCTCTGGTGCAAAATTCTGTATAAGTGCAAGGTGGAATTTTCTGCAGGCTCACGCATGTTTCCTGGAAGTCCGTTTAAAAGGGTGATACGGGCTGGAAAAGCCTGTCAGCCCTTTCACCCAGCAAGTGCTGCACTGCAGCTGGCTATTGTGCTTGTGGAAATGCAGGGAGGAGAAGTTAAGGTGAAAGCTCCATGACCCCATGCTCAGATCAGCTTGATTCCAGAGTCCCTTGCCTTAGGGAGAAGAGAGGAGCGCAAGGAGAGAAGCTGCAACTGGACATTTTGGCCTATGGAAATTGTATTTACATGAGCTGGTTCAGGAAGATACTCCTTTTCGTTAACCAGTTCCCTGGCTAATTTGAAGACCCATAAGACAAATTAAGTGTGGGCAGGGAAGTTTTGTGTGTGAGAATCTGGCCTCTGTACAATGTCCTTTAAATCTTCTCTTGAGAATAAAATCGCTTTCCACTGAGCCGAGAAAGACCATTCACGCAGAACTGACAGACCCCTTTGTCTAACAAGAAAAGCCTGAATCAGAAAAAGTCAGATGAGTCAACCATATTTGGTAATAAAGTTGTTAAGAGTTCAGACAGCTTTTGAAACATTGAGACCTTTGGATTACATCAACTGCATGTAGATTCTTCTGTGGGTTTGCAGTCGAGACAAATCCACAGTCTCCAAGATTAACGCCAAAGAAACTTACGTATCTGTCTGTATCCCCATCCTTTATGTTCCTCTAGTAACTGCAAAGCATGATTTATGCAGAAACTTGAAATAACCAAGGCTGTAAAAGAGTGAAGTGGGTGGGTGAGGTTCTGTGGCTTGCAATGTGCAGGAGGCGCAGACTAGGTAATCACGATGGTCACTTCTGACCTTAAAGTCTATAAATCGGAGACCCCTGCAGAGAAAGAGGATGGTCTTGTGCAGTGGCTCTCAAACTTCTTTACTGGTGACCCCTTTCACATAGCAAGCCTCTGAGTGCAACCCCCCTTATAAATTAAAAACACTTTTTTATATGTTTAACACCATTATAAATGCTGGAGGCAAAGCGGGGTTTGGGATGGAGCTGACAGCTCACGACCCCCCATGTAATAACCTTGTGACCCCTGAGGGGTCCCGACCCCCAGTTTGAGATCCCCTGGTCTTGTGGCTAAGAGACTGAACTGGACTCACAAGATCTGGGGTCAGGTCCCACCATTGCCATAGACACCATGTGCAACCTTGGGCAAATCACTTAATCTCTGGGCCTCAGTTCCCCATCGGTTAAATGGGCAGAGTGGTCCTTCCTTTGTCGTGTCGTCTCAGATTGTAATCCCTTAAGGGCAGGGGCTTGCTCTCACTATCGAATGATACAGCAACAGTCTTGGCTCTGGATGCTACTGTTGTATGAATAATGATATGGGGCCAGTGTGAATTAGCTAGTGATTTATCCTAGCGAGACTATGGAAACGGGGCAGATGTTTTCCCTGTGTGCAGTACGGAGCCTCTTACATTGCAGAGGTGAATGCAGGCTTTCTCCATTTTAGCCATGTCTGCTGAATCCTACTGCAGGTGTCTGTATACCTGGGTTCAAAAAAGAATGAGCTAAGTTCATGTCAGATAGGTCCATTAATGGCTGTTAGCCAAGATGGGCAGGGAGGCAACCCCATGCTCTGGTGTCCCTAAACCTTTGACTGTCAGAAGCTGGGACCAGACAATGGGATGGATCACTCGATAATTGCCCTGTTCTGTTCATTTCCTCTGAAGCACCTGGCATTGGCCACTGTCAGAGACAGGATACTGGCCTAGATGGACCATTGGTCTGACCCAGTCTGGCCGTTCTTATAGGCGTCTCTACACTTAAAACGCTACAGCAGTCCAGCTGTGCCATTGCAGTGCTTCAGCGTAAACATTGCCTACCTCAGGGGTGGGGCCAGTTGTTCTCCATCCACCTATGTCAGCAGAAGAATTCTTCTATTGCCCTAGTACTGGATACATGAGGACTTAGGTCGGCTCAACGGCATCGTTGAGGGGTGTGGATTTTTCACACTCCTGAGCGTCACAGTTAAACCGACCTAATTTTCTAGTGTAGATCAGGCTATGTTCTTACCTCTTGCCTTCTGGCACGTTAAGGGAGAGAACAAAGGGCAGTTAGCTCAGGACATAGGTTTTCAAACTTTCATAGCATGGCTCACATCTTACCATTCACAATCCGAGGTGGCGAGATATATGGGCCTGTGGTGCCCGTACTCCACCAATATTCAGAGCACGGGGGCCCGGCTCCACCAGTGTTCAGGGCCAGGCCTCTCCCCCGGCCCTGCCCGCTGCCCGCTTGTGCCTCCCCCGGAGCGTCCCTGGGCAGCAGCTAGCTGCTGCTCCCTGTCCCCCTCCCTTGGCCAGGGCCACAAGCCCCCCGCCCGAAGAAGCCCCGAGCACCCACACAGACCTGCACAGCGGAGCCTCAGGGCAGCCGCTGCCGCGGCGCATCAGCCCAGCCTGCTCTGGGGTAAAAGCCGCAGCATCTCTTGATGCAAAGACGCTTTTGATATGCCCCATGCAGGTTCCGGGGCGACTGCGGCAGCAGTATTTGCTACTCCGCTGCCTTAGCCTCCCCGGAACCTGCATGGGGCATATCAAAAGTGTCTTTGAATCAAGAGACGCTGTTCCCCAGAGCAGGCAACGGCTGGGCCCCTGGGCAATTGCCCCCTTTACCTCCCTGTCGGCAGACCTGGCTGGCGTGGAGGGGGGCCCCTCCCCTGGAGCTCGCTGCTGCCGGCGGGAAGAGGGCTGGGGGGGGGGGAGTCCTCTGGCCCCAGCCCCGGGGCAGCCTGCCTGCACCCCAAACTCCTCATCCCTGACCCCACCCCAGAGCCTGCACCCCCAGCTGTAGCCCCCACCCGCCCTGCACCCCAACCCTCTGCTCTAGTCCTGAGCCCCTCCCACGCCCCAACCCCCCCAGCCAGAGCCCTCATCCCCCACACATTGTGCACTATAGGGAACCTGTTAAACGCTTACTGTTTCCAGTCCATTTTTACAATATTTTAAAAAATATATATTGGCTTACAAGGCAGGTGTGGAGGGGTGGGACTTGGACCCATTCTGGGCATCACCAAAAATTATACAAAGCTGGTGCCCACGTTCACAATCCCATAATGCTGCTGTGGCAGTAACAGTAACACTAGGAGTGTTTAATACACTTTTACCTTTGGGTGCAGTTTAGCCCCTGGGAATGAGGAGGCAGATTATGTGCGCAGCTAGCACTCCCCAGACCATCCGTGGTCCATGGCGACCAATGGTCAATGGACTTGAGAACTGATGACTTGGAATAACTCTTGGATTCTTGCCAAGATAATTCTTTTATCTGTGCACTGAGGTAAACGAAATATTTTGTTTTGAGTAGTTATTAATGGGGATTGAATTATGTCAAACAAATTATTTTGTTGAGTGAAGCACACTAGGCAGTGTATGAACAGGAAAACATGACTCCTGCTCCAACACGTGTGCAATCTGAATGCAATACAGACTGTGTGGTTCAAATACTATGCTAGTGATGTAGCTCCAGATGTTTAATTTTTATTCCTGTTACTATTTGTGGTAGCATCTAGTGGCTCCTGCTGAAATTGGGGACCTATTTTACTAGGGTGATGTATAAACACATAGTCAGATACCGTCCCTGCCCCAAAGAGCTTACAAACTAAAATAGACAAGACAGGAAAAAAGTGGGTAGGGTAACTGAGGCACAGAGAGGCAAAGTGGTGTGCCCTTCGTGTAAAATCCAGTCAGAAGAAGAGCTGAGAATGGCTCCCAAGGCTGCTAACCTGAGGCTATCTACTAGACCGGTGGTTTTCAAATTAGGATATGCGAGAAAAACCTGTAATGGAGGACAACGCATTTTCTTTAGTAGGATTTGGCAATCTAATCAGCGTTTAATAATCTCCTTTCAGCAGTTAAAACTACAGCCATATTCGTGTATGTTTCCTTTCTGCAGTGTGAGTCAGAGTCAGAGGTTTTCAAACCGGGGGTGTGGAGAAACTTGGGGCGGGGGGAGAGAAGCAATGCCCAGGTGGTTCAGGCAGGCCCCACATGGTGGGGCTCAGAACGCCACCTGCACCCCCTGACTCACTTCAGTGGGCCACCCAGCCTGTCTGGGTTGTGGGGCGCAACCAAAAATTGTAACTCAAAGGCGGGGTGGGGGTGGCTCAGCTCAAAAACTTTGATAACTTGTGTCCTGTGAAATACTGGCTGCTGTTTGAAGTCCAACTCAGGTAAAGCCACAGTTGTTGCAAAGAGACAGTCGAAGTGCCAGGAAGCTGCAGGTGTTCTAGACAGTGAGGCTTAGGGCTCTGGGAGTCACATTAGCTCTCCTCCAGTCGTTGGTACAGAAGTTGATTTAAATGATAGGTTACAGACTATAGTTACTAGTTCTGCAGTTTCACATTTGAGTTCCTTCAGAACTCTTGGGTGATACCATCCGGTCCTGGTGAGTTAGTCCTGTTCAGTTTATCAATTTGTTCCCAAACCTCCTCTAATGACACCTCAGTCTGGGACAGTTCCTCAGATTTGTCATCTAAAAAGAATGACTCAGGTTTGGGAATCTCCCTCACATCCTCAGTCGTGAAGACTGATGCAAAGAATTCAGTTAGTTTCTCCACAATGGCCTTATCGTCCTTGAGTGCTCCTTTAGCATCTCGGTCGACCAGTGGCCCCAATGGTTGTTTAGCAGCTTTCTGCTTCTGGTGTACATAAAAAAATATTTGCTATTACTTTTTGAGTCTTTGGCTAACTGTTCTTCAAATTTTGGGGGGGGCTTCCTAATTATCGTTTTACACTTCACTGGTCAGTGTTTATGCTCCTTTCTGTTTTCCTCATTAGGATTTACCTTCCACTTTTTAAAGGATGCCTTTTCATCTCTCACTGCTTCTTTTACTTTGTTGTTTAGCCACGGAGGCTCTTTTTTGGTTCTCTTACTATGTTTTTTTTAATGTGGGGTATACATTTAAATTGAGCCTCTATTATGATGTCTTTAAAAAGTTTCCATGCAGCTTGCAGGGATTTCACTTTTGACACTACCTTTTAATTTCTGTTTCACTAACCTCCTCATTTTTGTGTAGTTCCCCTTTCTGAAATTAAATGCTACAGTGTTGGGCCGCTGTGGTGTTTTCCCCGCCACAGAGATGTTAAATTTAATTATATTATGGTCACTATCCTTCCTGTATAGGCTCCCCCTTTCTGAAAAGTGTACCCAGTTCCTAATAAATCTAAACCCCTCCTCCTACACCATCGTCTCATCCACGCATTGAGACCCTGCGGTTCTGCCTGTCTAACTGGCCCTGCGTGTGGAACTGGAAGCATTTCAGAGAATGTTACCATGGAGGTCCTGGACTTCAATCTCTTACCACTGTACTCAGCTCTGCTTAGGCCTCAGCCGGAGTACTGTGTCCAGTTTTGGTCACCAGTGTATAGAACGGATGTGGGGAAACTGGAAAGGCTCCAGAGGCAAGCAACAAAGATGATCAAAGGGGTGGACTGCAGCTGTACGAGGAAAGGCTGAAGGAAATGGATAAGTTTAGTTTGGAAAAGAGATTAAGGGGGGGGGGGGCATGATCAATGTTCCCTCTAATTTTTTCCATCCATGTGCGGAATGAATTTTGTTATGTGCAGCACCAATACCGAGGTGATGTGCGGATGTGCGCCATCAGTAGAAACAAAAAACCTAGATATAATACATATTTTTTAAAAGTTACTACAGGTATGGAAGAAGACAGAACATTAAAACAAGGAATAAATAACAAGGTGCACTGCTTGAGATATTTATTTAGTATGAACCCTAATACCTGCCCCCATAAATGCAAAAATGTCTCTTTTTAGGTAATGCTGCTCTGAGGTGTCTGGATTCTCCAAATACACTCTAATGATGGTGCATCCTCAAATGCTAGGGCTAAAAGTGAAGGGAAACGGTGCTGTATGCCAACAGGTGAAGAAATCGTTCATTGTAATGCAAGAGATTTACAGCTTTTAATGTTACTGATAACAGCAATATCAAAATAAAGACTTTTTACATTTCGATTACTGAGTTTTGAGTTGTTTTACTGCAAGTTCTCATATTTTCAACGTTCAGACCAGCAGCTAATGCCAGCCATTTCTCATCACTAAAATCTTTTAGCCACCTTCCTCCTCTGTTTCACCCTCCCACAGGTCAATACCATTCACTAGACTCTAAAACCGCAAGATTTTTATGAATACTTTCGAAGTTTTCCATCACTTGACTTTTAAACTTTTAGGCAAAATTGTATACACGTAAAACAAAAGCCATGCAAAAGACAGAAGCTAGTTAGAGAATGTTACTTAGAAAGCTTAACTTTTTAAAGCAAAGAGGGGGAGAGGTGTCTCTCCCGTCCCCGCCGCAGCCCCGGAGCTGTGGGAGAGGTGTCCCTCCACGCTGCAGCTCTGGAGCCAGGGAGAGGCATCTCTTCTGTCCCTGTTGCAGCCCTGGAGCTGAGAGAAAGGCGTCTCTTCCTGCCGCAGCTCCAGAGCTGGGGTCAGGGAAGAGGCGTTTCTCCCGTCCCTGCTGCAGCCCGAGAGCTGGGGCCTGGGGAGAGGCGTCTCCCTTGTCCCCACCGCAGCCCCGGAGCTGGGGCCGGGAGAGGGGCATCCTAGATATCTCCTCTCCTTAAAGTTCTAGACAACCCCGGAGCTGGGACTAGGGGAGAGGCGTCTCTCCCGTCCCCACCGCAGCCCGGGCTTGATCAGGACCTTTCCACCAGTCATTAAATCTACAGCTCAATGGCACCTTAACCTTGTCATATCAGCACTCAAAGGTCTGCCCTTCAAGCCTATGGCAACGTGCCATGACCCACCTGTCTATGAAGGTGGTGTTCTTAGTGGCCATAACTTCGGCCACAAAGCCAGTGAGCTAGGAGCCATGATGGTAACCCGCCGTATAAAACATTCCACAAGGAGAAGGTCTCCCTTAGGTTATACCCCAAATTCCTCCCCAAGATTGTGTCTGAGTTCCATATCAATCCATCGATTCACTTACCTGTATTTTTCCCGAAACCCCCTTCCTCTTCCACAGCCAAGAGGCTTCACTCCCTCGACATCATGTGTGCCCTGGTGTTCTGCCTGCCAAGAACCAAACCCATTAGAAAATCTCTCGGACTCTGTTGGTCACGTGGACAGGAAGTATCCTCACAGAGGATTTCTATGTGGGTTTCAGGATGCACATCAGAATGCTACAAAATAGCAAAGCTTCGTGGTGGTATTACAGATCACGCCAGGCGAGCACAGGTGGCCTCTACGGCATCCTTATTTGACTTTCCGCTAGACGACATGTGCAGAGCGGCAGCTTGGAGCTCTGTCCACACGTTCGCGTCACACTCCGCTGTCACTCGAGCTGCAGCTGCGGATAGGAACGGCAGTACTACAAGCATCCCTGCTACCAACTTCCTCGCACCCTCCTCGGCTCTGAACACCGCAATCCAACAGGATCCGGAGCAGAGGGGAAGGAGTGCGGGTAATGGAATACGCAGAGAGACAAACACTTGTAACTGGAGGAAATGAGTGCCAGCAAGCCCAGACTCCTTGTCTGCCCTTGCTTGGAGGCAGGAGGTGCTGCTCTGTGCAGGCCTGGCCCCCCACACTCTGCTTTGCCTTCTCCGGTTGAGCGCGCCCAGGTGCGCATGCATCGCATGGTGGAGCACACACAGGGACAAAACATCTTGAAGGGCTCAAGTAAGTAACCTCTCCTTACTGATGCAGCAGCATTTTGACAGAGAAGCTGATTTTGCCCGTAGCACAAGTATGTCCCACTTTGGAGTCGTACTCCTGAGGGATCAGACAGGCGTTGACCCTCACTTCAGTCCATCAGGTTGCTGCCGCTTGACTGTGTTCTACAAGCAGTAACGCTGGATTGTGAGAGCTTGGATCCTGCTCCCATTTGGACTTTTGCTGCTGCTTTCAGTGGGCTCAGCTGAGCTCCAGAGAATGTGCTCCCAGTTTTGCAGAAAATGTGGTTTGCTCCTCAACCTTTTTTCACACCGCGACCCTGTGTTACAACAGTAAAATGTGTCAGGACCCTCCTCCCCATGGAACCATAAAGAGAGAGAGGGTAAAACCTATTTGTAAGCCCTAGTAGTGTGCCGCGCTACTTCAGTGTCTTGGAGGCAGCATGAGACAGGGAGGCAGGGAAACCCTGGATTTTACTCCTGGCTCTGCCCCAAATAAGGTGACCAGATGTCCCGATTTTATAGAGACAGTCCCTATTTTGGGGTCTTTTTCTTATATAGGCTCCTATTACCCCCCCCCCACCCTCTGTCCCAATTTTTCACATTTGCTGTCTGGTCACCCTACGCGAATCACTGTGTGATCTTGGGAAAGTCATTTAGACCCAAATGTTCAAAAGTGGCCTCTTACTTAGGGAGCCTGGGAGCCTGACTTTTCAAGGGCATTGAGTCTGTACAGCCTCCATTGACATCAGTGGGAGCTAAGGCCAAGGATGCTTGTTTGTTATTCTAAATGTGTGTGACTAAGAGAAAATTCAGAGGATGGGCTCCAGTCGCTTTCTAACTATGACCCATTGTAACTGAGAAGCTGCTGTGAACATTCATCGAGATTCTGCAAGCACCTCACACTCCCCAGCTTCGACCCAGCATACAGCTGGAGCGAGAGGCCGTCCCAGCATACCCCCGATTCTTAACAGTCACCGGACACGCGATACATAACGCCCTGTTTCAGACGTTTCATGCTTAGTAAATTAACCCCGATCTCGGCCTGGAGCTGTACCCAACGTTCAGGGCAAGGCTTCTGTTGAGCACACGTGCTGCAGACAGCAGCAGCCGGCCCGAAGTGTGGTTCAGACTGACAGTGCTGTGTGCGCTGCTTGACCGAACCGAACCAGCTTTTCCCCAGGCTGCCGCCTGCCTGTGCCTTGATTTCTCACGCTTGCAGCTGGAGCCTAATTAGCAAATGTCCCACAGCCGGGGGGAAAGAAATGAATCTGCTTTTATTTTAAATCCCCGTCTTGCTTTTGTTCCCTTTGCAGCTGTTTGTCTGCAAACGCTCCCTGGCCCCAGGGAATGTTCCCAAACTTCCCCAGCTGGACAGGAGAAATGAAGGTCCTGTTCAGGCGTCTTTCCTCAGACAAGCAGCCCGTGCTCAGCTATGTAGAGAGGAAGAAGAGTCGTGCAGTTAAAGCCCTGGGCTGCAACCCAGGAAATCGGGGCTCTGGTTGTGGTTCTGCCACAGACTAGGGATGTGACGTGGCCCAAGTCACTTAATCCCGCTAGGCGCCGATTGCCCGTGTGTAACACGAGGAGAATGAGGCTTCCGTTGGCTGTCTTGCCTTTTCAGAGTGTGAGCGCTGCGACGTAGGAACCACCTCTCACTATGGGAACGGGGTCCCACTCTCGGTGTGGGCATTAGGTGCTACTCGAATGCACATAATAATGATGGACGGTGCAGATGCTGAGCTTCCGGGCAAACCGAGGGCCTAAGCCGTTCCCTACAGCGTGGCCCACGCTTACAGCACCTTACAGGGCGGGTTTGGAATTAGGTCTTGATTCTGCAATTCAGTGCACACGTGCAGACTGCTGCAGCCCTGTATCCGGGAGCCCCCCTGCCTGTGTGCAGCAAAGGGCATGACTGAGGCTGTGAAGGTGCGAGACTGCAGGTGTTAACAGACCAGGCTCATCAGCTGATCTATTACCTGCACTCCCCAGACACTGGGTGGAAATGCTTCCTGCTACGGCATCCCTCATCCCAAATGCGCTGCACTTGGGGAGGGGATTGGCAGCTGCTCCCTGCAGGCAAAGAGCATCTGCTATACTGAGTCCCAAAGCTACTGACCTGTGCGTGCCCTTTCCTAGATGGCAACGAGGGCACAGTTTGTGAGTGCAGGAGGGCTGGGGGTGTGATGTGATGAGGGCTGGGGGTGTGATGTGTGAATTAGAGCCAATGATTTTAGTTTATTATCCATTTATTATGTGGTATTATGATTAATCAGTGTGTTATATTACAAATATTCATTGTATGTTAATTACAGTTAATTTGTAGGATTATAAAAGTATAAGATTGATCAGTATTTAAAGGAACCAAGTATTAGATATGAGTAAGACAAGCTGAAACGCAAGACCTGTAGGTTGAGGCCTGCAAAACTTCTGCTTAGCTATTTTAGGCCTTGGAGACAAGAAATGATGATTTAAGCCAATGACCGAGAAATAACCCAATGCCCTGAGATTATGGGAAAAGAGGTACCAAGTGGTAATATTGCGTAAAATTATCCAGAAGATTAATATTAGATCATAAAAATACTCTAAAGGCACATCTGTCTCAGACGTGTCTTAAACCACAGGATACAGGTTGTGCACCAATGGTAATGAGAACCAAGGGAACTTACACAGCTTATAGAAAATTGGGGGCCCCCTAAGTTTCTGGGGGACACAGACCAATAAGAGAAAAGAGGGCTGACACTTTTATGAAGATGAGCAGAATGTAGTTATAGACAGAATCACATTATATAAAGGGGATGGCCAGAATGGGAAAATTGAGCTCCTTTCGGGAGACTCCAGCAGGAACCATCCCTCTACTGAGAGACCCACCAGCCACTACTGGTGTAATACTACATTACAAAATTCACTTTAAATAAAATAAAAGGCCTCAGAATCCAGCCTTCATGCTTTTAATGGCCTTTGCCTGGGACTGATGCCTTAAAGTAACACGAACCGCTGCAATTCCTGGGCAGCCCTCCTCTTGAGGACGACATCTAGCCGTTTCATTTCCCACTGCAGCATTGTCTTCTGACCATTTGACATCCCCTTCAGGCCCGGCATGAACGTGCGTTGTAACAGCTGACTGACCTTTTTAGTTTGTGAGACAAGGGGGGTGAGGTAATATCTTTAGTGGGACATCTTCAGTGGTGAGAGAGACAAGCTTTCAAGCTCCACAGAGCTCTTCAGGTCTGGGAAAGGCATTCAGGCTTGGTCTATGCTAGAAAATTAGGTCAGCATAACTACATTGCTCAGGAGTATGAAAAAATAACACCCC